TTGTATAAATGTTAAAATTATTTACAACTAAATTTATCGATAAATAAGCAAAGCTTACTTATACAACTAAGGCTGTCTAGTGCTAAGGAAATCAAATTTTTTGTAAATGGGCTCAAATAATTGACACAATCAATGTGCTCTTTGTGTAAATTGTTTGAAGGGGAGCACTTGGAACATATATTTTTAAATTGTTCAATTTACCAACTTCAAATTTCCTTTTATTTAAAGAAGTACAAAGATACATGTATAGCAATAGTATCAATTTGGACAAACTTGAGTCCTTGATAAAATTTGAAGCAAAAAACGAGGCATTGGATGTGTTCAATTTTAAACTGATGTTTTGTATATACCTAGGTAAAATGACCTCAAGAAGATCCAATACATCAGTTTAAACTACGGAGGTCGATCAACTAGTGTTCAATTTTGTTTTTGAAGCACTTAAATTGAGAGCTTTTATTGTCAATGAATGATGTTTTATTGTTCCGTCATGTAATTATTGATTTTAAGTAAAGTGCCATGTATTGATGATGTATTTTGATTAGTTGTTACATGCTATTATTATTATTATTATTATTATTATTATTATTATTATTATTATTATTATTAATTACTTTTATAAATAGTGTCATGTCAATTGAAATTGGAAGATATCTTTAATGATGTATATATCTTTATTTTGCCATTTGCCTCCCCCCTGTAATAGCTATTGCTGAAGTACAGTATTAATCTATCTATCTAATCATCTTTGTTATTTTTTACAACAAATCGGAAGAAGTTGAATGGCGAAAAATTTGAAGAAAACTGTAATTTATGTTTTCTGAAATATGTATGGGGCAGAGAACTAACAGAAAACAAATTTCACCTTTGTAAAAGAAAAATATTTTATCATATTTCCCTACGTCGTTTTATTTTTATAGCTGTTTCTTTCTCTTTCTTTCTTTCTTTCTCTATTTCACCATTCTCTCTTTTTCTCTCTCTTTGGGTTTGTGTTTCAACGTTTCAGCAGTTTATTTTGTCAAGTTGATGTGGCTCAATAGCTCTCTCAATGTTATCACCATTTTTGCGATTTAAAAAAAACAATAATGCGATTGAAGACCTTTGAAAGGTAAAAATTTAGAATTATTTTATTTCCTTCAAAATTTGTATTCCAGGTTGTTGTTTTTTTGGGGGGAGGGGTATATCGAATATCAAATGTGCTTATTGTTAAGAAAAATATTTTTACCTACTTTACTACGTCGTTCGGTCAATAATTGTTATTGGTTATTAATTAAAGCTTTAGTCTTGGCGTTAAATTGCTTAAAATTATGGGTTTTCCTGTAGTGCCTGTATTTGTGAGAATACTTACCTCGTTGAACATACACAAATTCAATACCCATTCACACAAATAAATACATTCTATTTAGTAGTACTCAATATTCCTCCAACGACAGCGCGAGGGGCGATGAGAATGCTATTTCATCATCCACCCCCTCCCCATTCACTCTAATAAATACACTCATACAAAACATAGAAAAACAAAAGACATATTTTGACGGCTATGTGCAATAAAAGTCTGTAGTTATCCAAGAGGAAGAAAGATCCAACAGATTGGCCTGAATTTTTTCACTTTCTTTTTGTTTTTATCCATCACTATATGCCATTTTATCGATCAGCAAAAACCACAATAATTTGCATTGTAAATGTGTAATACCTCACATTAACCTATGTATAAACAGCTTTCGTTCTCAGAAAAGTAATGAAGTAATAATTTACGCCAAGAAAAACAGAAAAACAGGCTTGTCAAATATTTTACAATTTATTAAGAAAACGTTCATTTATAAATCATTGAGAGCTTTTTCAAATCGGACTGTTGTTTGCATTCAATTCCGCTGAGTTTGATGAATAGTACAAGGCTGAGTCCTAATGGCCGATGCAAATTGCGTTTTACCTTGCGAATATAAATTCCATTATTGTCTTTGGTGTAAACCTACCTTTGGTGGTTGGAATTCTCCAGGTGAATTTCCGATCGCCATCATCCATTCAAGGAACGTAATCATACCATTATAGATGACAGCTACTCGAACCGTGCTGACATACAACCTGCGGCAGTAGTGATTTGACATCGGACACAGATTGCCGCGCATTTGACGTAATGAGTTCAAAGCCTTAAACGGATGAATTCGTGACGTCGATGATCTATTATACATGTAGAAACCCTCCTCGGAGAGAATTAAAGTTTCATGTTTGATGTTAAATGAAAACTCTATCGAACAGACAAGGTGTGAGGATTGACCCGGTATAAACAGACGGTCTAGACGGAATTAAAGTTAGTCATTAATCATCCGTTGACATGCGTGTTCATTCATGCGGTGAAAAGAACAAAAATAAATCAAATACATGCTGTGAGATATGGAAATTATGTTTAGTGGTAGATACAAACTGGGATTTTACTCTTCAAATGTACGTAATGTACATGGTATAGCCCGCTAACAGTATTGCATAAATATTTTAATATCCAATCAAACTAGAAACTAAACCACATCATACCAATAAATTCGATTAATGTTTGTACTTATTTTATGTACTTATTTGTACGTACTTTACTCTCTCGCCTATTTATCTTTATGACCCTATTACACTCTCATTTTATATCCCTAAAATCGTTCTCTCCCTCTCACATTTTCTTTCTCTCCATCCGTTTTAGTCCCTATTAAAGTATCTATTTTCAATTTTTTTTTTCAATGTAGTACCTGTATGTTTTTACACTCTCACTTATTTTAATTGCATCGTTGTATCGCCCTAAATTCACTCATTCTCTCTCTCTCTCTCTCTCTTTCTCTCTTTCTCTCTCACTCACTCACACAACACACACACACAGTCAGTCTTCTACCATCTTACTCATACTTTTTAGTCTCTATTGAACCATCTATTTTCAATGAATGTTCTGCCAACTAGTGTTTACTAAACTCATCCTAAACTTTCTCTCGTTTCTATCTATCTCTCTGTCTATATTTATATCTATCTCTTTCTCTCTCTATCTCTCTCTTCCCTTTCTCAGAGAGTCACTCTTCTACCATCTTACTCATACTTTTTAGTCTTCAGTGAACCATCTATCTTCAATGTTCTGCCAACTAGTGTTCACTCTCTCACTTGTTTCATTTCCCCCTCCCTTATCGTACAATTGTATCTTCCTAAACTCTCTCTCTTTATGTCTATCTCTTTCTCTCTCTATTTCTCTCAACCCTTTCTCAGAGAATCAATCTTCTTCCACAAACCATTGTTTACTCGCTTAATTTTTTTATTTCTCTCGAATCTGTTTCCCGCTCACACAATTATTAGGGTACAAACCGGAGTGATAAGGTACACATCTTCAAGTCGTAAGAGATATAAGATAATTGTCTTGTAAGATACGCAACGCCTATAAAAAATATGAAGGAACGACAAAATTAGTCCACACCTGTACGATCGCTACACGGCCTGCTTGTCTCTTCCTTCCGTGTCGTACGATATTGCGAAGGGTGAAGATAGCAAATCAAAGAGTGATATTGGCGTTGTGATTGGTTGGCTCATGTCTTATCGCTTCGGTCTATCTTAGGATAAAAATCGTGTATGTAATGTTTCTGCGATAAATATCTCGCCGCTCAGGTGTGAACCAGGCGTAACTATTCCATTATATTACCCTTTCGGTATTATAGCCGTCTATTTTCTATGTCCCACCAACCTGTTTTTATTTCTCACTTTTTTTTTTGTGTCTCACCCCCATTTTTTCACCCAAAAATTCTCTCTCATCTCCCTCTCCCAACCAACAACTTTTTGAGCAAATAAAACTTTTCTCTCTATCTTCCTCTCCCAGTCCCTCTCTCTCTCTCTCTCTCTTTCTCTTTCTCTCTTTCTCTCACTCTCTCTTCCTTCCTTTCTTTCTCTTAATTTTCTTTTCTCATTTTTTTAATCTTCCGTTCGTTCTTGTCGTAATCTTTGTCTATCCTTGATATGTCTTTTTCACCAACAACATTTTGAGCAAATACAACTTTTTTTTATCTATCTTCCTCTCCCAGACTCTCTCTCTCCCTCTCTCTCTCTCTCTCTCTCTCTCTCTCTCTCTCTCTCTCTCTCTTCCTTTTTTTCTTTCTCTTAATTTACTTTTCTCATTTTTTAATCTTCCGTTCATTCTTGTCGTAATCTTCTCGATATGTCTTTTTCACTCTCTGTCTTCGTTTATGTATTATTCACTCTACTTTCTCTTATAATGTCTACAAAAATAACAAAATAAATTTTCCAATAGCTTAAATACTTAAAAAGACGTAACCACTATAATTTGACAAACCACGAGCATAAAATAAATCGCCTTTGTATTTTCATGACTCTTACTTATAAACATGTTATTTCTATTTACATAAATACATTTTTTTATATTTAACCAAGCTACTTGTGCGTGGTTGGATTTTTAGTTTGAATGCCTTTCCAAGAACAAGTTTTAGTTAGATTATTGCACTATTAAATCAAGCATAGACAATTCCACCGAACATCATTAAAACCAAGAAAAAACTTCTCATCGCGTGCTGCTGTTATAACGGAAAGAATTTCCGTTTGTATAACGACGTTCATTTTCTTTTATTACCGAATTTCGTACAGAAGATTTTAAGGACTTTGATCTTGCCTTTTCTCCTAGACGGGGTATCTGTCTGAAGATGAAACCTGTTAACCTTCCAAGGGTATCCTACGAAAAAAAGGCAGATTCTTGATCAGTTAGTATATTATGATATTGCCTAGATTTTATCTAATAATTTAGTATTATTATAAGAGATATTTTTCGTTTACCGAATTGCCAAGATTGAAGGACTTTAAACGGTTTCGCAAATCGTCCAAAAAATTATCTAATTTCTTTTTCATTAGAAAAATAATAAACAAAACATTTATAAAGTGCCAGTATAAAATAAAGGTGTATAATAATTGGGAGTGTCAAAGCAGGCAGAGTAGCTGGCAACAGGTGTTGGAGGGGATCGTGATGCAGACCTGATGCCCGCTCAGTCTCTTTTCATCTCTTAAGCAGTGTAGTGTGTGATAGTGGTCGCGACTTTCGCCTTCTTTTGGATTATTTACGATCGACTGAGGTATTTTAATTCGTCCCTTATAAAATGTTTTCGTACACGAGAATTACTCCTTTTATTCAATCCTAACTTTTCTCCGAAAAAATTCGTCCTTAAGTAAATTTTTACTTATATTAGACGAATTTGTGTTTTTCTAAACCGAAAGACCGTTCTCCGATTGCATTGTCGCCGTGCCAATATTTGATTAATTTGCACGAACCATGTAAACGATTGGCTTTTATATAAAAGGCTTGACAACCTGAATACCAGAATTAACCATTTCATCACCCGTCATTCAAGTTTTTCCAACTCGTCCACCTTATTAATTTTGTGCAACATTTTGCTTAACATGTTACTCTTTAAAGGCCGCTTTTTAATAATACGTCATAAAATAATTGATAATGAAGAGATCACATGTACAGAGCCAACTTAATCGTTTTTATAAGTATAATTACTTTTTTTTATTTCGTTTTATTAGCTTTAAGTACAATTATTTATTATTAATTAAGTCCAAACAAAAAACCCACAATAGGACAGTCATGTTATATAAACAGAATAAATTAATATCAGATATTTAAAAAGAACACATAATAAATAATTAATTTATGCAGATAAATACATAGCTAACATAATTCAATCTTTAAATTTCATAATCAAAATTAATATTTTGTTTACCTTTTAGGTCCGAACTTGTTTTCATAGACAAAAAAGAATTTTTTATTTGTTTTATTTAATTTGAGATATTTTAAAACGGAATATATTTTGGGGTGGGACACAGGATTTGCAAATAAGTCTATATATCAAAATCCCCAAATATTTTCAAAATGGTGTTGCTTAAGTCTGATTATTGGTCAACACATTTTTATATTTTATTGAGTAATAAACATTAAAAATTATGTAGTAAATTTACTAGAAAACCATCAAAATAATAAATAATACTATCAAGCTGGTAAAATTTTAAACAAATCAATTCTTTTTAATCAATAAAATATACTTTAAAAAATATACGTAAATTAATATACGCGTATAAATTATTTTATGTTGAATTATTACGGTGGTTGAACTAAAAAGTGGGTGAAATTCAAAATCGAAACTTTCTGGAATACGCGCCTAAAGGCTTGAATTTTGTTTCAAAATCTGGCGGGTAATAAATATTTTTACAAATAACCTTGTACGATTTTCTCAACGTCAGCATAGCGTTCTTGTAGTGGTTTTGTTATTTTTCTATATGCTTAAATCGTATTACCCAATTTTTGATTTATCTCACTTTTCACTGGAACCACGGATTTATTTTTTATTTAATGTATTCAGATGTTATTGGATATACAAAGGAGTTACATCAGTTCCTGCATAATTTAATTTAACCACAATTCAAATAACATCCAGCTAGTAACAAAATAATACATATAATGAATAGTAAAAAGCAATAATAATAAAAACAAGAAATAAGACATAATTTAGCAAGTAATAATAGTAATATCGACAGCAAAAATCAACAGGCAGCCCTAGTTTAGCAGCAACTGTGAGGAAGTAAATATGTTTGCCTGATTTTCGTATTTTATTGTAAAAATATCCTCATATTTATTCCCACGAGAATCATGCCTTGTGCAACTAAAAATATGTTATAAACTTTCTAAAACATTTTGTTCGCGAGCCACTCTTGGTGTGTTGATTTTGTAGGAATTGCCATCAATGGTTGAATAAGAAGTTGCATAATATAAAGTAATAACACATAAGAATAAGAAGTTAAAAATATGTATAAGAAAAATAAGAAGAATATGATAAGATATTTGTAATATGGAATAATAGAAAATAAAAAGTTGAATTAACCTTCAAAATGAATAAACGATGACTTCAACAAGTACTTTAAATTTATAATAAAAATTAACTAAAAGAAATTATTGCAAGAAATTGGGCTAAAGTGATAATGTTCCATAAAAAATAGAAACCATTATATACACCAGATTAATATCAATCAAAGCTATAAATTATTATTTTTTAGGATTTTAGGAAGGCTAAAGGCTGGAGAAACAACGTATTTATACTTTTCTATATGGTAGATATTAACTTAAACCTTAAATAAAGGAAACTTTTAGCAATATTTATTGGCCTCAAATAAATATTTGATTTTTTTAAATCAATAAAAATTTTCCTCGTCTTTATAGCTTATGTAAAATGTTGCGTATTTCGAAAAAATTATGGATCAGCTTCTTTTATTATACAAGAAAGACCTCGCGTTTTCCTAGGCCTTTACTTGACGGAGTGTTAGAGAGCTATAATCTTATTCATAATAACTATATTCATTTCCGACTTCGAAAATTTTTACGTGAGCAGAAAAGCGGAGGGTATATGTTTAAACCGCTCCAATATGTCTGTTGTACGCTAACATGTCCTAGCGAATAGTTGGAAAGATGCTAAAGGCAACGTACATTAGAAGCAATATCAAAAACTCCTTGATATTGCTGAAACCTTTGACAAGGCATTGTTATCCATGATATATCCTGTATCTATCCATGCTGGCTTCCCACAAATGACCATTCTTGGACCTCTTCGTTGCACGATGTGTATTGCCGACATATGTCTCCTTCCAGAAACAGTTCACTCCAATTTTACTGACGTTACAGCAATCCTTTCATCCCAAAACGTTTCTGTCACCAGGTGCAGAAATCTTCAAAACCATTGAAGGTTTGGTCCAAAAGTGAAGAATTAAAATAAATCCGGTGAAGAGCAGATACATTAACTTCAAACTCAGACGTATTAAACTGCCACCTGTTCACTTTAATGGGATTTCACTTCCCCTTGTCGAACACGTACATTACTTCAGAATTTAACTGGACAAACAAATTTCACTACCATCGCAGATAATCCTGCCAGTCGACTGAAACGCAGATGGCCTATAGTGAGACATTATATTATTATTATAGACATTATTATAGACAAAGAGGCACGGTTTTCAAGTCAATTGTTTTGTTATTACATCATTTTTATTGTTGTAATTATCTTACAGATGTAAGAGTCAATTAAAAAAACAAGAAGATACCCTCAGAAAACAAAGGTAGAGTGAATATCATTAACTAAACCATGTTACTTCCCTTTTGACAAAATAGTTAATTTACAATATTTCGGCTTTTCTCTTTGTCAATACTTCACTGATTAGCCGTTTTCTTCTCCAGCTTTGGAAAAATTTTCAATGCCAGTAAATTGCCAGTAATGAAAAGTTTCAGTTCTATACACCAGGAAAGTCTGAGATGCGCAATTAGCCTTTTTTTGTTATTAGAGTTGGCTAAGGTCAAATACTTTTTCTAAGATACTAAGGAGATCTTCCTTAAGAATGAATTAAATAAGGAATTAATGAATATTTCAATATTTTTCAGAATAAAAATGGAGTTTTCATTTAAGATGATCTACCCCAACACCACCCGTCATTGTTTTGTGAATTTTCACGTATCTTTTTCTCAACACCTGATTAATTTACACCAAACTATTTTTGCTTTATATTACCTTTTTTCGTTATATCAGGTTTGAGAAGCCTGAAAAGTACAGAAGATTTCTACGGTAATTTGAAAAATGCATCTTTTTTAATGCTCAAATTTGAAATTCCTTCACTCAATTTTACTATGAAATGTTATAAATGCTTTTATTACACATCCTAAATGTACTCAAAACAACCCACAGTTATTGAATTGAACTTTGAAAGCGAATTTTGAAAAATATTAATTAGTTTTGGAGAAAAAAAGATACATAAGTGACGATAAACGTGAAGTCTAGATACAGACGATTCTTTGAACATTGAAAATTGTCTATTCCGATCGCAAAATTGTTCGATTTTTCTATCGAATGTTGTCGATACAATAAGCCCGACGCGTTATAACGTTCAGAAAATAATTTTTTTTGCTTTTGAAAGTTACTTTGAACTTTAGGTTGGCTAAAAGATGCCTCAAATTCATACCTACTCTCGGTGTACACTTGCCCTAAGTCCACTAAACGAGAAAATGTTTTTACTTTAATTTTTTTGTTTAACCAGTGGGTTAAAAATTTGTTTAATAAAAAAAATTCCAAAAATAATGTACATATTTTATGATAAGTCAATAAAAATAGGTTAGAGTGACCCGCGAAACATGGTGACGGTCTGGAATGTCAGGATTGACAAAATATAAAACTTGTTTGCAACCCAATTAGGCAATGTTGGGTCAGAGTCGGATACTAAAAGAAATTTGAAACCATCTATTAAAATCTTAAGTATATCAATTTGTAAACATTTTTATAGTTTTGCCCTGATGATGACCTTAAAATAGGTCGAAACTTGGCATATAATAATTGAATTTGGTTTTTCATCCAGACCTTACAAAGATCCAAATTAAAGTAAGCCGTAAAGCCAATTGAGCCGAGATATTTTCACTTTTGATAACCACCCATTTATCGATTTTGACAAAAGTGCTTTATTTTTAAATGAAAGGAACGGATTAAATGAAGTTTTTATCAAAGGCACAAGCGGGATTCGAACCCACGACCTTCGGCTAAATACGCCGCTCCTCTAGTACTTGAGCTATCGTGACTTCGATCCACTCGGACTCCAACTTCACATCTCAACCCCACCTTTTCAATTTTCCTTCCTTTTTGCCATTTTTCAATTAATTTTTATGAGAATCTCAACCAAAACCTTAATTAATTGAAAATAATTTATTTGGTCAAGCGAACCACGAAACCTAATAAATTGTTTATCAAAGGTTCATTTATTTCTCTTTTTCATTACCTATCATGGGTTGTGTTAAAATTTAGGTTCAGTAAAGTAAAAGTTCATTGAATTTTCGGAAAGTGCTAAACTTATAAAACGCGTAGGATAAGTTGTAAGCTTCAATTTAAATTAGTTAAAACACTTTATAACGTAAAGTTCTGTAAATGACCTATCTTTATCTCATTTGGCATGAAATTACTTTATTATACACTGCAACTTTGGCTAATTACAATACTAAATTTTCGTAAAGTTGTTACATAGAGACATATGTGTAAGAGACGTAAATGTC